ATTAAATATTTTTTCTGTGTATCTTTCTGCAGGAATTCATGAGAAGCCTTCACTGTCTGCTTGGCCAAGCCATGTTGTTACACTGGGACAGTATGTGGATCTTAAATGTGACTATCATAAGGAGTCTTCCATGTTCAAGCTGTACAAAGAACGTGGACCTCCTATCCCTCAGTTTCATGACAGAAAATTCTACAAAACCCTTCTCTTGGGTCCAGTGACACCGGAATTTGGAGGAACCTACAGATGCTATAATTACAATCAGTACCCTAATGAACTGTCATTACACAGTGACCCCATAGAGATCATAATATCAGGTCAGAGATCATAATTGGAGTGTAATTCCATTTCCCCAAAGCTCCTCATGCTTGAATTTTCAGAACAAGTTTTAGTCAGAGTCTCAGCATTATAAAGGAATTTTCAACACATGGAAATGGGTCCTATGGTGGACATAACATAAACCCAAGGACATGCACTTTCTTGTGCCTAAGCCTTCGTGAGTGTTAAGGCAGTGTTAAGGAGTTTGGTGTCATGGATAAATTGAGCTTGAAGATGGAATTCAGACATTAACGAGTCGACAGCAGAATGGGAGAATGTCCTGAATTATCCTGACTCTGTAGAACCACAATGGCTCATATAACAAATAAGGAAAATGCAGTTGTAGGCAGAACAAAGTATCATGAGGGAGATGCCCTACTGCTACTTCTGACAGTGGAGAACGGGTCCAAGTGCTAAGGATGCCTGAGACCTTAGAAACTGGGAGGGAAAAAGTAATGGATGCTTCCCTACTGATACCAGCAGTAACGTATCCCTCTAGATAACTGATTTATTCTGTTTGGGCTTGTTTCAGAATTCTGATCTTCACAACACTTGTGTTCTTTTTAAGAATATCATTTGTTATGGTAGTGATTGGAAACTAATACAGGAATTCACATCAAGGGAAAATTAAAAACTTGGCAGGGATGAGCAGAGAGCAATAAAACCCAGTTGGTAATGCATCAACATGGAGGAAACAATGCTCATGATGGTAGATCTGGAATGCCTTGTAGAACTTTGAATAATAGAGAAGGCTAGAAGAGTTGCCCTGATATATCTACCTTCACTACACATTCCCTTATCTTGCCAATTAGTATACTTAGTCCAAAGTAGTATTAAAAGGTCTCATGATGGAGCATGACATAAAGCTTGCCAAGTTTCCAGAATTCTTAAAACTAAGAACAGAACAACAGGAACTGTGGTGGACAGTATCAGCAGATACATTCTCACAACAAGCCATTGGGGAATAATTGTGCTGGTACTAGAGTCACAGAAGTGGTAAATGTCCAGAGAATGATGGAGGAGTCTGTGTACAAAGTCAACATAAACAGAGACAGGACTCTGGGACACTGACAGGAAGAACAGGGTAAGGGGGGAAACATAGATTTTCTTGGATTCATAGACTGGCATCAGGTTCATACTCACAATCTCCTTATTCCTAGGAATCTACAGGAAGCCTTTCT